AAATCAGAGGTATCCTATATATAATGAAGCCAATGATGCATGCAAAAAGGAAATTAGAATGGCTAAACTAGAAAATGAGAAAGTGATAGCCAAAGAAGCAAAGCCAACTCTAATACATACATTCACATACATTCTTAAAACACAAAAAATTAAAGTGTAGGTATTCTGAAGATGTGTGTGTCTCTCAGTATATTAAGGAGAATCCTATAACAAGAGATATTTAAATGATTGCTACAACAAATGTGCAAAAAAATTGTGATTGGATGACTCAAGACAACATGCTGCAGCAACTAAAGAAAATTAATGCAAACACAGCTCTGGGGCCTGACTATATTCACCTATGAGTACCTAAGGAGCTAAGTATGTAAATAAGTAAACCTCTGTTTTTAATCTTTCAAGATTCTTTTCTTTCAGGAATTGTACCAGAGGATTGGAGGAAGGTAGATGTGGTTCCTATATTAAAAAAAGGGTTCTCTAAACGGTAGGAAATTATGCATAACAACACATGGGAAGGGTTTGGGAATTATTTTAGACAACAAACTAGGCAACAATGTGCAATGTCAATCAGCATTTGCTAAGGCCAGTAAAGTATTGTCATGTAAAAATATGGGCATCAATTCTGAAAAATATAATTTTGTCTTTTTATTAATCACTGGTGAGACCACTTGAATAGGCTGTGCAATTTTGGGCACTTTTTTTACAAAAAATATTTATTTTTGTAGTGCACAGGATAACAATCAAGAATGTGCAAACAGTGTAAATGTCAAGACAGAAAAGCAATCCAATTATGAAATATTGATGGTACAACACTTTTTATGTTAGAGAGGGAGAAAACAGAAGGAACATAGTGCTGATGGTAAGCAAAGTAAAATGAAGGCATGTTTTATTGAACCATAGAGCTAGATATAGTTACAAATACCACTAGGTGATCAGAGGAAGTTAATACAAGTGAGCAAATAGGGCACACTTATAGGGAAAAACAGCATAGTGCTAAACTGTATTGTCCATGATGATCACAGCAATAATACAGCCTAGCTGCAGGCAAGGCTCAAGCGACCCTTAGCTAATGCCGATTAATGGAGAGTCCCAGCCGTTCCCGCCATTCACTACCTCGGTGAGGCCCCCCACTGAGCCCAGGCTCCCAGTCAGTCCGGTTTAATTCTCCACAGGAAGGTCACAAGGTCTTTGGCCAGGATCCACATTCACTGTGCCCCGATCCGGCATGCACGCCAACTAGCATCATATGCCTCTGGAGCATACTGGCCACGCTGGGGAAATTTCTGTTGCTGCTCTCGGGGTGCATGGTAGCGAGCACACTGGTCTGAGTGAGATACAGCCATTCACCATGGCTGCCTCTTGCACCATCTCCTCCACAGCTCCCTTCTGGAAACACATGGGGGACGTCTGTACATGCAGCGCCAGTCTGTTGGATGGCTCTGGGGGAGGGCATGACTCTATCATCCGGACTAGCAGTAAGCTCCCGATCACAGAGCCTTGTCAAGAAGACTGAGCAGACTCAGTCAATGGCCCGGAGCAGCAGTTCAACGTGTGTGGCTGCAGACACTTTCAGGGTGGCCCTTTTAGTAGGAAGGCCTGGATTCTCCGGTTCGCAAGGCGACCAGTCCAAATCACCAGTGGGGATCGGGATAACTCCCACCAGTTCAATGGGTGGTGGGAAGGATATTATGGCTCTAGAAAAAGTGCTTAGGTAGGCTACAAAATTTATGAAAGGAAAGGAGCATTTTAGCTATGAAGAAAGTTTACGAAATGTAAATCTCTTTAGTTTGTAAAAATGGTGCCTCAGAAGGGATATGATAGCATTCTAAAAATTTATTCAGGGCCAATACAAACCATTGTCTGGAAATCTATTCATAAACTGAACTATACATAGGACACTAGGTCACGCATTGAGACTAGAAAAAAAGGAGATTTAGTCTAAGGCAAATGAAAGGTTTTTTTTTTACAGTAAGAACTATGCATGTGGAATTCTCAGTATTCAGATCTATACAGATGTTTAAACAGCAACTGGATAAATACTTGCAAAAACATAATATTCAGGGATATACATTTTAATTAGTGGGGTAATAGCTTCTTGATCCAAGGAAATATATCACTACCATTCTGTGGTCTCGAATGATTTTATTCTTACTTGGTTGCAAAATTGGAAACACTTTAAACTGTTTTTTTTTGCCTTCTTTTAGATCAACAGCAAACACAAATACGAGAAAGGCCGAACTTGATGAATGCATGTCTCTTTTCAACGATGTAACTATGTAACCATGAGCAAACATACTGCAATGTTAGAGCGCTATTTTTTAACCCCTTAAGGACCAAACTTCTGGAATAAAAGGGAATCATGACATGTCACACATGTCATGTGTCCTTAAGGGGTTAAAACAAATGCTCATGTTCTCTAAACTCATTTGTCTGGATTTCCTGCCAGGACTTTGTCTAGTTCATGGGTAGTCAACCTGGTCCCTTGGGATTTCAGGTGGGCGGTGGTGGGTTCTGTAGAAAACAACCGGTGGGCCTAGTTGGCAGTGGTCCAAGGCCAGCAGGGGTGATCCTTTCATCTCCCCTGCTGGCCCATGCAGAGCCTCTCGGGCTGGTGATGAGATCAAAAATGTTCCACACTGGCCCGCTGGCACTTAGTTCCAGCAGAGGGAGGGAAGGGCCTGGGAGCCTCTTTGTTCCTCTCGCGAACAGCCTGGTCAGATCGTCGCCGTGCGTTACCATGGCAGTACTCCGATACGGCGATACAGTGCTCTGCTCGCAGGAGGACAGGAGAGAGGAGCTGCAGGTTAAAGTGAACATGCCACCACTGGACCACCAGGGCTTGCAGCATTATGTACCCCCTACCTGTTAAAAAGGTAAGAAGAAGGGAGGAGGAGACATTAAGATAGATTTCCACATCTCACCCACCTATACACAGCATAGACCCTATGCACCCTTCACATACAAACACACACTACACTCCTTACACACACACACACACAGACAGACTGCCCCGTCACACACTACACCCCTCCTACACACAGAGTGCCCCCTCACACACACACTGCATCTCTCACACACACATACACTGCACCCGACACAGACACACACACATACACAGCAACCCTAACAAACACACACACAGCAACCTTCACACACACTCTGCACCCTTCACACTCACCCCACCCCACAGACACACATAGGAAAAAAAAGTAGAATAGAAAATAGAAAAAGAAATTTAAGTACATATTTCTCCTTTCTAAAAATAAAACAAATTCATACTTGTGCTATAAAATTAGTTACTGTGGCACTGGTGGGCGGTAAGGAAATTTTACCATCAACAAAGATACAAAGGTGGGCGGTAGGTATTAAAAGGTTGACTACCCCTAGTCTAGATCTGCTGCACTTAAAGGGACACTGTAGGCACTCAGACAACTTCAGCTAATTGAAGTGGTCTGGGTGCTGTGTCTCTTTTGCACTTAGTGCCACTGGTCCGTTATCTGATGCTGGATGTCCTCACAGACCTCCAAAGTCAGATTTTTCCTAAAGGAAAACATTGAATAATGCTTTCCTATGGGGAGGTCTAATGTGCGTGCGGCATGCGCATTAGGTCTCCCCCGCCGGCTGACGTCGTCGGGGGAGGAGTGTGGGCGGAGGGACATCGGCGCTGGATTCAGGTAAGTAGCCCCATGCTATATTGAAATCCAGTGCTGTAAGGTCTGCGCCAAAAGCAATTTCATTGTGGAAAAGGCAGGATAGTTGATTTGCAAGTGCAGATAAATCTGTTTTGGTTAGGAGAGTGGGAAGGATGGGTCGCCAGTTTGGTCCCTCTATGTTTTCGTGGGAGGGAGTACTGGAGACAACTCTTCCTATGATTCTTTTATAGAGCTAGGTTTGGCACCATTATAGAATTCTTAGGCTGGGTTCACATGGGTAGCCAGTTAATTGTGGACTGATTGAGTAGATTCACTTCCTGAGGATATCAATTTGCCTGGTGTGTCTGAGTTTCGTTTATTATGTCCGATAATGTGTGAAAAGGCTGAAGGCCTCAAAGACATGAAGGGGCTGATTACAGCCCATTATAGCAGATTCCACAAAGAGTTTAAAGTTGAAGTGTCCACCTACCTTGGCTTACGCACATAACTCCCTCAATACAACTTGTAAGTGATGGTGCTTAGATATTTGTAGACGTTTCCATTAATTAATAGGAAAAACAAAACCCATAAAACTATAGTGGTCAGGAAAGACTCCTATAAGATTTTGGGTACTCATAAATCACACTTATATTACTGAGAACAACCCAATGCATTAGTAGGTAATTCCTACTCCGGTTATGTGTTGTTCACATTTACATTATATCTGGTACGATGGAACTGCCTGTTCCTGCAAAGTTGCCCAGCTGTATTCACTCAGTGAGGCTCTTTGTTGTCCTGTTCAGCCACATAAGGTAAATCCAATGCAACTGGCAACAATGGAAGGAGATGATGCAATCTCAAATCTCTGCATCATCATAGTGGTGCCAGGTTTACTATTCAGACTGAATAGGATGCAAAGTGTCTCACTGAGTGAGAATAAGATGGGCATCTTACAAGTCCACCCAGTCTTAACAATCCCTAACTCTCTCATTGTAATGACATAGGACTTCAATATGGGACTACATTGCTATACACTGT